ATCTGAACAATGTAAATATGAAGACATGGATTAGCAAAGCATGGTCAGCATTCTTAAACTGAAGTACATCTGCTGCTTAAAACTACTCAAAACCAACACCAAAGTCACACTTTTCAATACGAATGTCAAAACAGTTTTGTTGTACGGAGTGGAAACTGTGAGAGCTACAAAAGTCATCACTGAAAAGATACAGCTGTTTATCAGTAGTAGTCTACGTAAGACACTGCTGATCCGTTGACCGGACACCATCAGTAACAACCTATCGTACGAGAGAACAAACCGGATTGCAGCTGAGGACGAAATTAGAAGAGAGTACTGAAGAATAACCACTGGTTGTGGATCGGATACACATTGTGGAAATCATCTAACTGCATCATCAAGGAAGTCCTAACTTGGAATTTACAAGGCTAAAGGAAAAGAAGTAGAAAAAGCAACACATTGTGCCGAGAATTGAAGATAGACATGAAAAAAATGAACGGAAAGTGGGCAGAAGTGGAAACGAATGTCCAGAACAGATTTTTTTGAAGAATGCTGGTCGGCCATCTATGTACCACTAAGGTTAACAGGCCTAAGTAGTTTATTCTAAAGTTAAGTTATGATATACTATCTTCCGATTTAATATTCAAGTAGATATACTTTGAACCTAATACAAGCGATACACCCTAATACATTCGTTAGAATGTTTTTAGAGCATTCTCTTATATGCCACTAATTATTTTTCACTCAGTAGCTATGTACGGGTGCGTATATTTATCTTTAAGTCGATATATAGGTGTAAGGGCTAACGATATTTACCTGCGTGCATAAGGTGCGATAAGTGAAGGCAGTTCGGATTTATGAACAGTGGAGAGCCTTAATCACTCTCCCACCATTGTGCAACTCCACCTGCAGACCCTCCGGGCCTACTGCCGGTTCCATACCCTGGTAAAGGAGGAGGAGAATTAATTTTATTATGTACTGAGAAAGTTCATTTCACGTTTGATGATGAACATTTCCAGCAAGTTGATGGCGTTGCTATGGGTAGTCCTTTGGGACCTCTCTTAGCTGATGTTTACATGGCATATGCTGAAAATTTGTGGAATGAGCACATTAATAAGCTTACTCTCTATAGGAGATATATGGATGATATTTTAATTATATGTGATAAAGAACTTAACGTTTCCCAGTTACTGGAAAACTTCAATAGTCTTCAGGATGACATTGTACTAACTAATGAACCAGAAAATAATAATCGGTTGCCTTTTTTACACATATTGTTGAGCCGAAGAGGTAATGGAATTATAAAGCGATCTGTTTATAGAAAGCCGACGTGGACTGGACAGTACCTAAATTTCAACAGATTTTGTCCACTGCAACTCAAGCGAGGTTTAGTAAAATGCCTCTTCAATAGGACACAAAGGATTTGCACCACGGATACATTTGACGACGATGCAAAATTCTTAACTGAAGCATTGATTTCAAATGGCTATCCGCTAAAGTTCATCAATAGGTGTAGAGATCAGATAAGACAAAAGCAAGTTTTTCATTCTGCTGAAAAGAAAAAGGTTTACATCACTTTACCATTTAGAGGTGAAGCAAATGGTCTAATAATAAGACAGAGACTAAAAGCAGACATAGAGAAAACATACAACGCTGCTAAATTGATTATCATTGAAAAGACCAAGTCCATGATTTCGCATATACCTAAACGTTGCTCTAATGATTACATCACATCCCATTGCATTTATCAATTTACATGTTTGTGTGGACACACATACATAGGGAGGAGTAATCGGACTTTGCAATCAAGGGTTGTGGAACATGTACCTAAGTGGCTTCAAAATCAGTTAACGTCAAATGAGCCGATTAACGTTGGAAATAGAAAACCATGTTCATCGATCGCCAAACACATAATTGAGACAGGGCATAAGATTGACATCAAGACAGCCTTCGAAACATTGTATAGAAATGTTGAAGGACGAATTTTGAGGTTTATGGAGGCCTTGGCTATTAAAACTCCCCTTATGTGTGCAGAAACAATTTGTCATAACCTTGAATTTACCCTGGTAATCTGTAAGCCTAGGGTAATGTGACAATTTTCCTACCCCTTCTTATTCTTTTCATATTAATTTTCTCTCTCCTTTATTTACAATTATCACCCTATGTCTATTTGAACTTTTATTTAATTGACCTTTTATTCATCTTCATATAAAATGCCTTGACAAGTAAATATGTGTGACCAGATTGTTCGAAAGTATAGCGCAAATACATCACATTTTTCAGATCAATTACGTCTTCTCACTGTTCTATTATATATATATATATATATATATATATATATATATATATATTGAAAAGGTTCGTTTCACGTTTGGTGATGAACACTTCCAAAAAGTTGATGATGTTACTATGGCTATTCCTTCGGGACCTCTCTTAGTTGATGTCCATACGGCATATACTGAAAATTTCAGGAATGAGCCCATCAATAAAGTCTTTATATGCTATAAAGAATTCAATGTCTCCCAGTTACTGAATAATTTCAAAAGTCTTAAGAACGACGCTGTCCTAACCAATTGCCCTTTTCAGACATACTGTTTGGTCGTAAGGGGAATGGAATTATGAAGCGGTCAGTTTACAGAAAACCAACCTGGACTGGAAAGCATTTAAATTTCAGCATTTTTTGTTCACTGCAACACAGGTGAGGCTTGGTAAAATGCCTCTTCAATAGGGCACAAAGAATTTGAATCACAGTTACATTTGCAGACGATGCGAAATTTTTGACTGAAGCATTGATTTCAAACAGTTATCCGCTAAAGCTCATTAATAGGTGTGGAAATCAGTTAAGACAAAAGCCTGTTTTTCATTATGCTGGACATAAAAATGTTCATGTCAATTTATCATTTAGAGGAGAGTCAAGTGGTTTATTCTTAAGACAGCGATTAAGAGCAGCCACAGAGAAAACATACTGTGCTGCTTATCTGATTGTAATTGAAAAGACCAACCCCATGATTTCACAAAGACTAGATATTTCTCGAATAATTACATCATATCCTATTGCATTTATCAATTCGCGTGTTTGTGTGGGCACACATACATAGTGAGGAGTAATCGGACTTTACAACAACGGGTAATGGAACATGTAACTAAGTGGCTTCAAAATCAGTTAACCCTCCGTATATGTACGGAAACATTTTGTTACGACCTTGAATTTACCCCGGTTACCTGTTTACCATTTTATGGCCTAGGGTAATATGAAAATTTCCTTATATTTCTTAATTTTTTACATGAACTTCTACTTAATTGACCTTTTATTAATTTTATATAAAATGCCTTGACAAGTATGTACTTAGATTGTTCGGAATGTATGGAGCAAATACAACACGACATTTTTCAGATCAATTACGTTCTCTCACTCTTCTATCAAAATTTATCAAAAGGACTAATCGTTTTGAAAGAAATCTTTGTAACAAACTTAAAATGTACGATTTTAATTCGATATAATAATAATAACTTAACTTGGGCTAGCAAACTGTATCATAATCAATTCGGAAAGCGATCAGCTAAAGACATTTCCAATTGTATAAGAGGTATGTAAATGACGCTTTCATCAGTTAAGAAAATAAAAAATGATTTGAATAATATTTTAATGACGTTCAATAACAGTCTCGGTGCATGAACGCGACGATTAACCCTATCTGCAAAACGTCAGTTACAATTTACCTCCATACATTGGAGTTACGAAATATCTTGGATGATGCACAATAAAGTACACAGAGTGAAATACGTTTTCATTCGTTAACCTCGTTAACAATCTAATGAACTAAAATTTTGTTTTTAATTAAATATTTTCAATCAATGTAAATCGTTGCAATCAGTAATAAATGACCATTTATACTGATATCAATAACATTATTCTCATCTGGACAAAACAACAGTTTACTTAAGGTTATCTTAGTTCGTAATAATTTGTGGATCACTTCAATATTGAGGTGTTAACTAAGTGTTACAAATATGGAAGGGGTTATACCAGCTAGAAATAAGTTCATTTCCAAAACAATCAAATTACAATAAAACAAATTCCAACTGAATTCACTTGTTTGTCAAAGTGTGGATGATAGCCTGAGATATTATGTTAAAGTGAATAGGCTGTTATAAATTCATCATGATGTTTATCTTAAAAAAATCGTGCAAACCATATCATCCCAGGGATATGCAAAGTTATCTGAAAGCATACAATGTTGACCACTCCTAGAGATCTATAAATCACCGTTTCTGGAAATAGGCACTAAACTCCAATAGCATATCCCCCTAATTTGACTGGTTCATCAATCAAATATCTCTTCACTAAATAAGATGAAAAGGGCTGACTTCATGTGAAGATTGATAAAAAAAATATTACATGCAGTAGGCTTATTCAAGTAAGGGATGTTACAATTGATATGGAGTAAGTTTTGAAATGAGGGAAATTCTGAGTTACACATACTGTAGTAAACGAGAACACAGGTGGGGCAACCGGACTGTACTTAACGAAAATTACAGAGTTACTCAGTAAAATCGGAAAACCATATCGTAAATCGTTCATTTGCAAAATATCAGTTCATCAAACCGAACTGGACTGTTCCTGTTGCAAAACATCAATCCATTATCACTATTCATGCGTTTCATACAAATTCCATTGTTTTCTAACTATTCCTTTCTTGATCTTCCCTCATCTTCCGCTGCCAGACATTACGTTGACACTCACGTCATATACTACTTATAAGTAGCTCACACCACAATACTACCACCGAAATATTCAATTTTTTCAAAAAAAGTAACAATCACACGAAAATGTTGAACCCATTAATTTATAATAAATGACAACAGCAAACACCGGTAGATATCTAATTAAAACAAAAATATAATTTGGGATTTATTTATTTATTTAAAAATAGAATATAAAACGTAGGTTTTTGATTCTGTTACACTTGCAAATATAAAAATATATACCGGATAAATTACTCCGAACAAAAAGTAATATTCTATTTGTCTCGTTTCATAAATGAAGTTAAACAGTCAACTAAATTACGAAGACACACCTTCTTTGTTTCACCAACTGTTTGATCATATACAGAATCAAGAAATTCATTAGAACTCAATGCATGAAATACAAAGTTAATACGTTCAATGGATTTTTGACTTAAATATGGGGAAACAGCTTGATATACTAAATCTTTACAATTATCTAATTGTTCTTTAAGAAAATTATAATTATAAGTATAATCAGTTTGTGCAAAGCCTATTACTGTAAGAACGATTTTACGACTTTTCTCAATAATTTCATATATATTTTTATAATCCTTATCAGTTAAATTTTGTTGTTGTGATATCAAGACAATTTTACCGATTGTTTTAATCAGATGACTGTATACTTGTTCTACATTTGTTTCAGAATTCATATGTAATTTCATTAAAGCATATAAAGCTTTAAGTAATTCGTAGGCACTTTCACCGAATGTTGATTTGATAGACTGTTCATTTTGTAGGACTTGACCAACAATATGTTTTTGTGCACGAAACCATACAGATTGTGAATTCTCTTTGTCTAAATCATTATTTGATTTGATTTCACAATCAGAACTCAGACTGATTTGACTACCTTCTTCACCTTGTTCATGTTTGTCTAGATTACCTTTGTCACACGAATTTCCCATGGTATGTTTTTCATCAGGAGTCACCACGACTTTTGAATGGGAAAAAATCAATCAGAATGAATAGTTTAAATGAATTTACAAATCTTGGAATGTTGGTTTCTCAGTTAAGACAAAGTAATATAACCTGTGGGGATGTTTTTAATGGGCATGAACAATAATACGTTCGTAACACTTTAAAAAATGAATCGAATTTGTTGGGGTAGTTTAGTACGAGAAATATATGAAATTGATGATCAGAAAGTGAGAAGTACTAGATTCCAACCTACTATCAGGATAAATTCACATGGGTAGCATCAGTTATCCAAATGATGTAAGCTAAACTATACAGATGTAGCAAAGCACTTACTTTTCAAGATGGAAAGGAAATGTCAAGAAATAGCTCGATTTTGCCTGGAACAATTTTCGCTACAAATATACTCTGTGTTATGCACTGACTTAATTAAACCAGCCGACTGACGAATGCTGTCCATTGCCAGACAACTAATTTAAAGTTGTGAAGTTTGCCTGTCACCCCGATGTAACATAGGCCGCCGACCAGTGTTCTTCAACCAATTAATGTACGAAATGTTTATAATATAGGCTAACTGTTAAAATGGCGTTACATTATGCCTAGTAAATAGTTTGTCCACTGTATTCATTAATAGTTCTTCAGCGTAAATAAACCTTTTAAAAATTTGTTTGTATATAAGGCAGTTAGAATAAAATTCCAACTAGATGTACGATTCAGGAGTTACCTAGATTGAAATTACATAATAAATAAAGGTATATGTGATTATCCATTCCCAGCTCAAAATATTAGCTAAGTATTGTCAGTTTTACTGTTATGTCGTTAGTAGTCTGTAGCGGAACACTTTTATGAATAGAACACGATTGGTTTAAAAGAAACATTCATTATTATAACCAGTGACATTGTAACTGTACGTTTTATCTGTAACACTTAAGCGCAACTTTCTATTTGTGTTGCTGCCATTCTTTACTGTAACTGCTTTCAAATTGGCCAACGTTCCTGGTTTAATTTCAGTGTTCTTTCGACACCACGAAATCGCCATTGAATATATTCCTTATCCCCGATTTTATTTATCTTCTCAGTGATGGGTTCGTAATTAGTATTCAGTGGTGATCATAGTCGATCTCGACTCCGTCACCACTATAAGTCACTAGGCAGATGACGCTATCATGTGTTAGTGTATTATGGACTATCGAAACTATAAATTACATTTCATTAAAATCCTACCACACCTTGTTGAGTTTCTTGAAATAGTATCTAATTAATAAAAAAACACTTAAGTAAACCAGAATCGAACTAGTTCAGACAGGTCAGTTTCATACACTACAGCAACATATCTACTTCAACAGGGGTTACAAAATGGAAGCGCATTTCTGAAGAACAGCGAAAACTTCGGTGAGTCACTTTTGAAAAAAAAAATAAGGACGGTTAAACATTAGATTGTCCAACAGAAGTAGTGAGTGAAATACATATCCAGAAAATATATATTATTGTTCATATTTGTATTGTAATATAATATGGCGAGTTGAGTGCACATGATGCCACGCGAGGATCCCAAGATAGAGCTCACCAAAAAAACTCAGAGCTAATCACAGTGATAGTGCTTAATATCTGAGAACAAGCGAAACTTATATATCCACGAACTTGATATGAGTGAGCTTACTCTAGGACAGCGATGTTGTTAGAATAATGCGAAACGAAAAAATATGGATACAGTCAGCATCCCGGATTATATATGCCAATTCAAGCTAACGCTCAGTATTCGGAAATTGAGAAACGGCAAGTATAAAATAAACTTTCGCGAAGCTTACCGAACAACGTGAACAAATAAAATATTTGTAATGAACGAACGTAAAACAGTTTCACAGTTAGCGAAACTAAACAATAAATATTGTACATTGGATGATTTTTTATCACAGATTTGACGAATTGAAAATCGAGTTTTTCATTTTGATGACTTCAATTATCCCCGAATTTATTGCATACCTGTTGTTTTGGCTCATCATCCATGTTTTGTGAAATTTCGAACCACAAAATTAATTAGTAAACTGTTTGTTCCGTGCGATGTGTATCTAGATCGAGGAAGAGATTTGACAATAAAAGGAAAGGCATTGCCTTATAACTCCTCCTGAAAACTTTCTGGGATCACAGCCATTCACATTCCAGGATGATAAAAGAGATCTATTTTTGAGGTTAGCAACCCCATCCGAAAGAAATGCAACGGCCTAAAAAAAGTTAACCGCAACAAACAGCCGAAACCATATAAATGTGACTTGGTACTTCAAAAGTTCTCACTGGATTAGTTATCACTCCCTAAGATCAATGACAAGTTTCTTCCTAGGTCATTTCGTCGATCGCTCTTCTTACAAGCAGAGAAACAATCAAATTAGGTGCAAGGATTCTTAACATATTCTAGGAGACTAACAGAACGAATCAAGTTACTGCTGTTGCACTCACAATCATCCTAACGGAATTTGATCCGCGAACATTTGAAATCAGATTAACCAACTGCAATGAGGAAGGAAGAGGCACAAAAGCTGACTTATCAGTAGGAGCGAAGATGATCCAGCCTGTGGTCAGCAAGATTTTAAAGAAAGAACCCGGAGATTATAAAGAAAAGCACCTGATCAAGACACCAAACAAAGGATATATTGGAAGGTGTTATAACTGCAGAGGCCCAAGTTGATGCTAAATACCAGGCAATGTATACTAAGGTGTTGTTGTACGTATGAGAGATTCTATGGTTGCCCAACTTCGAGATCAACAAGCTGCATTCCGTTATAATTGATCGCGTGCCGAACAAGTTGCACGCGAGAAAACATTTGATGGCCTAGATAAAAGCACACTAAGGAGGTTTCTTCTACACTATGTGGCGCGAGCTACTTATAAGTAGTATATGACGTGAGTGTCAACGTAATGTCTGGCAGCGGAAGATGAGGAGAGATCAAGTAGGGGAGAGTTAGAAAACAATGAAATTTGTATGAAACGCATAAATAATGACAATGGATTGATGTTTTGCAACGGGAACAGTCCGGTTCGATAGGATGAACTGTTATTTTGCAAACGAACGATTTACGATATGGTTTTCCAATTTTACTGAGTAACTCTGTAATTTTCGCTTAATAAAATTTGGTTGTCCTCACCTGTGTTCTCGTTCACTACAACTGCACTATGACTAGGAAGATAGAAAACTTTGTATGCACAACTCTCCCTTCTTTTTGCTGTACTCCTTTATCTGTGCGTTATATTCTTATATTCCCATAATTTACTTTGATTTAAGTTGTCAGTATGAATTTTATCTCGACTTACTACTGTATTGACTACTTCAACATGACAGGTTAATTAGTGCTTTGGTTATATATATACACTTGCCACACTGCTGCCTTTTTCTCTCTCTCTTCTCCTTTTCAGAACCCCATTCACGGTGGGAAATCCTTGGCTACTCTAGGGAACATGTGTAGTGTGCCGGCTTAATGCGTGTTCTTACGTTTCGTAATAAGCTCGTTCAGACTACCTTATCCAAATGACGTCTGACGGTTAATAAATCAGAAGATGAATTCCAAGTATCGTATACGTTTATTGCAGCACACCACAATTAATAACAGCAGACCACAGATAGACCGGGCAGACAGACTAGCGAGCGAATATGCGATTGTGCGAATGTATTAATAAGATTAAAATGTTCGTATATATACAAAGGAAAATGTCTGAGTCATCGTGGTATTTAAGAGATTAATATTAAAGCGAATAGGATGCATATGTGCGTAGGCGTTAAGCAATGCTCAGTCATACTAGCTCATACAAACCAGATAATAAAAAATACCAATGGTACATACAAGTTGTTGCTATACAAATGGCTTGGTTAAATAAATTAATGGAAAGGGCTTAACCAAGTTAGATGTGAGAGAACTGAAATATATGTGGAGGCACTACACATGCACCCTAGGTACATGACTGTCTGGATCACAGCTCGTATCAAGCGCGTTCCATATGACCTTACCCAACAAATTCACTATTGATCTCGGCAAATCGCCAAAAGAACCTATTGTGCACCTTAATTATTTGTACTCTACTATTGAAAATGAGGCTGTACAATACTGTTTCTGTCAGTGACATGGTGTAAATATGCAGTCAGAAACTGACTCATACTTATTTTAACTGCTATAACTTTACAGTGATTGTGAAAGCATTTGTGACAATTTGATCTAGCCTGTAAACTGGCGTGACTCTTGTAACGTAGTTATTTGAGAATAAATTAATATTATTATTCTTACGACAAACTACACTGCAAAATCGTTCTTGGAGGACAGCTCACGGATTAGCCACAAGATAAAACTGCATACAAACAAGGTTTTTTTTTACTTCAAACCTATTGTTCCCCGTCTGGTAGTTTGTTGGCACAAAATCTGGCTCCAAAATTTATGAGTGATCGAGTATGCTATGAAATAAATCTCCCGATCAATTTCCGTAAATTATACTTCGTTAGTGCGACAGTAGTGTAGTGGGACACTTGTACGAAGGAAATGCAATCAATGAAAAGGAACGTTTGTTATTGTAATCATTTTGTTTAACTCTATTAAAAAACACTTACCTGAGCTCAACGTTCTTTTCCGCGTTGCTGCCATTTTTCATAAATTGTTGCTCTATGTAACTCCTAATTTCTCCTTCAAGTAAATATTCAACCCTGGATTTATTTCTAAAATTTGTGTCGAGATAGTAATTATTATTTAGTGGTGAACATAGCCAATCTCGACTCGATCACCACTACAGTGTTAATAAGAATCGAAATACGTATTCGGTTGGATGAGTTTGTTTCAGGCAATCATTCAAACAGACAAGATAATGAAAAGCATACAAGCAAAGCAAAGCGAAGCGGAGAAGGCGAGTGTGACAGAGTAAGCCAGACATGTAATATATAAGGTAGGAATGCACACACACGAATAAAAGCAACAAGGTCAAAAGACAAGTCAGCAAAATAATTTGTTCAAAAGCTAGAATGAGTCCTGCGGGCTAGACATGAAAGCATTATCTACAAGTTGACTGGATTATGACGACAATATGACGTCAATACATCAGGGGGAGCACGTAAAGAACAAGTCGGATTTGCCTGTACAACCTGGCCCCTTTATACTACAAGCATCGACAATACAGGATAAACCGCCAGTGAAACGGCAGCACACACAGGGGGATAAGAAAGACCCTCTGATACAAAACAAGTCGCACCAATAAGATCACAGCTGACGAAAAAGCTTCATAAGTTGTGGAAACATTCACTTGCCTAGACAGCATCATTAATAAACAGGGTGGATCTGACATTGTAGATATGAAGACATGGATTAGCAAAGCACGGTCAGCATCCTAAATTGAAGAAATCGGCAATTCAGAACCAACAGCAGTCACAATTCTCAATACGAATGTTCTATGGAGTGGAAACTAGGAGAGCTATAAAAGTTATCATTCCAAAGATACGCAAGACACTGCTGATCCGTTGACAGGACACCATCATTAACAAACTATCGTAGTAAAGAACAAACCGGATTCCACTTTAGGACGAAATTAGGCGAAGGCACCGAAGGGAGATATGACAAACATTGAGGAAAGCACCGAAATGGGTCTCTAGTCAAATCCCAATTTGGGACATTCTAGGACAAAGGAAAAGTGGTAGACCAAGGAACTCATTGTGAGGAGAATGGATAGGATGTTTAGTAATCGATGAGAACTAGAAAGCAATATCCAGGACTGAGTTGTTTGGAGAGTTCTGGAAGGCTGCTTGTGCCCCTTCGGTGTTAATAGGCGTAAATATAAGTCGGTTCGCATTGTCCCCATATCTTTTTAGGTGCTAAATAGTAGAAATCATGAATTCTCCTTGGTAGTGCTAACCGTGGCGTATTATCAGGAATGGCGTCTGGTAATACCTGACAAACTTTAAGAATGCTCTACTCCCCTTCAAAAACGCTAGGCAGAATTCGCCGTTGCTCTTCGACCTCATTTCATCAATTATATGATATGTTTTCAGTTACGAGTGGAGCGCTGCAAGCCCTAAGTTCCAATTATATATTTCCTGTAGTTATACATATGTGCCAAGGATTCCATAAGACAGATATATTCGATCAGTAATTGGATATAGAGACGATTGTAGGTCCTGCCAATTTCTCCTAGTTTTCAAGAGTAGAAGACTTGAACGTCAGTAACTTCATTTCTGCTAGTGCCAGGAAATGTTCAATTCTGCTGAAGGAAAATAATTAAGTATTCATCACGTAAATCTTAGTCGATGCTCCTGTCGCAGATGCTCTCACAGAGAATCACGTAGGCATCACCCTATATATCCCACCCTCTTCCAAATAATTATACATAATTAACATCTTTCGTAGAAATCTACGCAAATACAGATAAATAATTGTTACCGCCTTTACCATTTTGCTTGGAGATCGTACAGAAAAATCTACTGAACTATGGTTCTTCACCGTCAGAACGATGTCAATTTCTCGTACAAGTTCAGTGTCAAAATATTCTTACGATTATGTTACGAGTAAAAAATGCGAAAATAAGAGCTACCATGTACTTCTATTTATAGTGTACAGTTACTATTAAAATGACAAACGAAAGTGCTTTTGGTTTATTTTTATATATATATATATATATATATATATATATATATATATATATAAGCAGCCTCTGCAGCAGTAGGTCTCAACATACATAAAGGAAAAAGCAAAATTCTCCGATGCAACACAACATGCACCAACCGAATCACGCTTGATGGAGATACCTTGGAGGACGTTAACACCTTCACATATCTGGGCAGCATCATCGACGAGAAAGGTGGATCGGACGCAGATATGAGGGCGCGGATTGGCAAAGCAAGGGCTGCATTTCTACAGTTGAAAAATATCTGGAACTCCAAACAACTTTCAAACAAAACAAAATCAGGATTTTCAATACAAATGTCAAGACAGTTCTACTGTATGGAGCGGAAACTTGGAGAACTACCAAAGCCATCATTCAGAAGATACAAGTGTTTATTAACAGTTGTCTACGCAAAATACTTCGTATTCGTTGGCCAGACACCATCAGCAACAACGAACTGTGGGAGAAAACAAGTCAGATTCCAGTGGAGGAGGAAATCAGGAAGAAGTGGTGGAAGTGGATAGGACATACACTACGAAAAGCACCTAACTGCGTCACTAGACAAGCCCTCACATGGAACCCTCAAGGCAAAAGGAAAAGAGGAAGGCCAAGGAACACACTACGCCGAGAAATAGAGAAAGATATGAGAGGAATGAACAAACATTGGACAGAACTGGAGAGGGAAGCCCAGGACAGAGTTGGTTGGAGAAAACTGGTGGGCGGCCTATGCTCCATTGGGGGTAACAGGCGTAAGTAAGTAAGTAATATATATATATATATATATATATATATATATATATATATATATATATATATAACGATGTGATGAGTTTTAGATGTTCTGGAAATCGCAACTCGTGCATCATTCTGGAGTGCTGATTGGATACCAAGGAAATTTGTTTGCCATCGTTTCTGATCGGAAATAGTATCTTAATTGCTGGGGTCATGTCGTCGAAGCTAGCGTTAGCAGTCTAGAATGTACCCAAGAGAAACGTGTCACGACTAATTTTCTCATGTTGCAGGGCACTTGCAATGAAGCGCGCTCAATTCATGACGTCAGATCAGAGAAATCGTTCTAATATCATCTTGTTTGTTGCTAGGATATTTGGATGAGAAAGTTTATGTAGCTCATGGAAGAGACAGTGTTGTTAATTTTTGTGCACTACTGGACGATCTCCAACTATAGATATGTAACTAAGGAGTTTTCTTAACCGTACACATCTGCTTGATTAGCACTCTCGGGAATGTTGATGATAACTCATTTTGAAGATCAGTGACTTCTTTTCAAAACGTCGCTAGTTTAAGGTCCCTTGGAAACTGTTCATGGAAGTGACATAAGAAAAGGGATCAACGATTAAACTGATGGCCTCAGATAGCTTTACTTATACAAATAAAACGTATTATTCAATATTTATTTCACCTCATGTTACGCATGAATTTTTATCATCACTATTAATGTAATTATTATCAGGCAGAAAAAGTCAGTACCTACTAGCTGTTGTAAGGCTTTGATAATGGATTCGTCGAAAATAGAGAACTGTAAGATAGACCTCTTTCGTTGGGAGTCTCGATGAGAAAACTGACTTGAAGGGAAGTTAAAATAATAGGAAAAGTTTTATAGGTAATGAAAAGCAAAAATCTGTATATATTTTAATAAATATTTCTCAGTAAAATGTATATAACAATGAAACGAAATTTACAAAAATGAACGTAACTTTAATATAAAAAATAAGTCCTCGATATAATATCTTAAACAGACAAACTGCCTTCTCGAAAGCTGCTTGCAGAGATAAGACAATTGATGACAGATGGTATCCCTGAATTCGAAAGTCGTTTAACCTCATCAAATATACGAACTATTTGTTCCAATTGAGGTTTGTCCACTAAGAAACCATTGACTGGAATATTGTTAGTTGCTAAATTATCTGATGTAGGAGCAACACTTCTACAGTAAGCTGATCCAACTACTTCATATGGTGTGTAGTTCAACTGACAGCCGATATTGGATTTGAAAAACGTAACTTGATCACGAGCAATCTGCGACCAACAAGCGTCGTTACCAATAACAGCAACAGCAGGAGCACGATGGCGTGCTAAAGAATGCCATTCAGCTAAACTATATCCCGCTGAACCATCACCATAAATAACCCAAACAGTAGCCTATGAAGGAAAAATGTACACAAAGAGTGAGTTTTTTATAATGGATATATCGCTAGATAAAAAAATTACCATTTATTTATTTGTTTATTAGTACAATAAAGACATACAAAAATTAAGAGTAGCGATATCATAAAGTGATCTAGAAGATCACCTTGAAAGTCTTATGAAATGGAAGGATGGGAGATAGGCTCAATGCAATTTATTGGTACCGCTCATCTCAGTACATGGAGACTTATTGACTCTCTAAAAAGAGAATTTATGGTGAACTGAAAATAACGCTGTTTGTTGAGGGAATTCAGAAACAGCATGGTAAATGTTAGTTAGTATAGAGGGGTGGAAACACGTCACGAACTAATTTTACACTATAGAAACAGATCCATACTAGATTATTAACGCAGAATAGCGCACAATTTGAGCTCGTACACGTAAATTCATTAAAACAGTATAAAAACTGACAAATGTAAGTAATATTTAAACCTGTATCGCAGCATCGAACAATTTCGAAAACTCCTCTGGAATTTCATTCCACTATTGAACATCGATTTTTGTGAGACTCGCCTCTATCAATACCCTTCTAGGTCCACTCTTATTGTTAACTGATACTGTTAGCTCAAGAAACTCCATCAAGCATTTTCGCTATATCCTACCAATCGTTCTAAACGCAATTTCTGTTCTGCTGGATAGACAGCTGAGGTATCTCATATTTATACATAACTGCCTACGTTTGAGTACAGTTTTACTTATTACCATTAATATCTTCTAAGCGGAGTCTTACAACTCAGAACTCCAAAATATGTGTTTTGAATATGGGAATCGGATCTGTCATATGTACAAACCCAAATTACTCTAATTTGCTCTACCTGAATTAAAAAAAATACTAAATAGTTTGTAGAAACTTACATTTGGGCGGCATAATTTAGCACCTAATGCAAATCCTCCACCAATACCTAACGTTCCAAATGGTCCAGGATCTAACCATGATAACGGTTGTCTTGGACGTACAATATATGCTGCTGATCCTACAAAATCACCACCATCAGCGATAATAATACTATCTTCAGATGAATCAGTTGGTAGACCATAATGCTCTAATTTCCAGAGAATGGAAAGTGGATTACTATGCTCACCACCTTCTAACTGACAACTCAGTCTAAAAAGAGAAAGGAAAACGTTAACTCTGTAATTATCAAGTAGGTTAAGTAATATATGATGAATAATGAGATTATCAATAATTATATTGAAAAGTAGAATGTAGAAACAAAATTTTAAAACTATTCACTGTAAAAAATAAAGTTCTTTTTCTTCTACCATCCAAATTGGTCAAAATCAAATCCTTCCTACACCCCCTAATGTCTCTCTTATCTCTACGACTAACTCTAGCTCGGTTGGGTCACCACGATAGGCAAGCCCGACCACCACGTCAAGGTAGCAGCTTCGGTCGGGTCCTAATGGGGTATGGCAACCTGAACTTATGTACTCATTAACGAAGTTCTGCGTTCTTTCTAACTAACTTCATGGCTGATCGAATGTAGGCCTCTGGTATAGTTGTCGGAGAATGTTTCAACTTCTCCAAGTTAACTCTACTGTCTTACCGGAACAGTAAGAATCGCTTTCATTGGATGTTTTTCTACTAGTAATTTTATATTTTGTCATGATTTGCTTAAAGTATTTTAGTGTATTCTGTTATAGTTCTAATACTACTTTACTTACTTTCGCCCGTTACCCCCAATGGAGCATAGGCCGCCCACCAGTTTTCTCCAACCAACTCTGTCCTGGGCTTCCCTCTCCAGTTCTGTCCAATGTTTGTTCATTCCTCTCATATCTTTCTCTATTTCTCGGCGTAGTGTGTTCCTTGGCCTTCCTCTTTTCCTTTTGCCTTGAGGGTTCCATGTGAGGGCTTGTCTAGTGACGCAGTTGGGTGCTTTTCGTAGTGTATGTCCTATCCATTTCCACCGCTTCTTCCTGATTTCCTCCTCCATTGGAATCTGACTTGTTCTCTCCCACAGTTCGTTGTTGCTGATGGTGTCTGGCCAACGAATACGAAGTATTTTGCGTAGACAACTGTTAATAAACACTTGTATCTTCTGAAGATGGCTTTGGTAGTTCTCCATGTTTCCGCTCCATACAGTAGAACTGTCTTGACATTTGTATTGAAGATCCTGATTTTGGTTTTGTTTGAAAGTTGTTTGGAGTTCCAGATATTTTTCAACTGTAGAAATGCAGCCCTTGCTTTGCCAATCCGCGCCCTCACCTCTGCGTCCGATCCACCTTTCTCGTCGATGATGCTGCCAAGATATGTGAAGGTGTTAACGTCCTCCAAGGTATCTCCATCAAGCGTGATTCGGTTGGTGCATGTTGTGTTGCATCGGAGAATTTTGCTTTTTCCTTTATGTATGTTGAGACCTACTGCTGCAGAGGCTGCTGCTACACTGGTCGTCTTCTCTTGCATTTGTTGTTGAGTGTGGGATAGAAGAGCCAGGTCATCTGCGAAGTCCAGATCGTCCAGCTGCGTCCTAACTGTCCAGTTGATACCGTGCTTC